CGGGACTGCCAGGGTGGCCCCTCAGCACTCGGCCAGTGCAGGGAACACTGTGGCTGATGTAGAAAATGACCACAAAGCAGCGTTGAAAACCACAGGACCTTGTCCTCTCCCACCCTGGAGGGCGGAGGCTGGACCAGGGTCCCAGGCTGAGCTCCCTGCACAGGCTCCAGGGGGCTCCTCCTGCCTCTCCAGCTCCTGGGCTCCAGGTGGCCCTGCTGACCCCTGCAGTCCATGAGGCAGGGCAGAGTTGGGGATCAAGTGCTGCAGGTGCCAGGGAGAACCAGCAGGCTCAGGGCCCCACTGGGGAGTGAGCACAGTCGGGCCACCTGGGGTTCTACAGCAGGCGGGTGGCTGGGCTTCAGGGACGTACCTGAGCTTTACTTACAGGGACACGGCTGTGCACCCTGGAGATGCCAGTGTCCAAGGTGACATCCTGCTGCTTCGGGGGGGCTGACTACTCCGACCTGTACATGACCTCTGCAGTGGACAGCCTGAGTCCAGAGCAGCTATTGCGGGAGCCACAGGCAGGGCACATCTTCAAGGTCAGTGGGGTCTCCCTGCCAGGGTCAGCTTGGCTCCTGGCCACGGCTGCTGGCCAGGTGTAATGCATCTTGACCTCGGGGACTGGAGCGGGCTTGGCAGCATCCATGGGGACCTCTGTCTACCTGGAAAACAGCCCTCCCGAGGCCCCACATGCCCTGCTGTGCACAGAGACGTTTACGGGAGGTTTAGGAAGCTGGTGTGGCTGGCACTGCCGTGGCTGGGGCTGCCGGGAGACTCAGCCACGTCCAGGGACTCACCTCTACCCTCTCCTCCTGCAGGTCACGGGCCTGGGGGTGAGGGGCCTCGCGTCCCGCCCCTTTGCTGGCTGAGGGACCCCACCGTCCAGCACAGCTCAAGACAGGCCTCTGTCCCTGGGGTCGGGCCAGGCTCGGCTCTGGCAGGGCGCTCCCTGCCTGACCGCTGTTCACAGCTGACAATAAATGTGGCCACCTCAATGTCATCTCTGCAGCTGCTGCCCCCCAGGGACCGCCCCACGCTCTGTCCAGGGTCACCCAGCTTCGGCTTGTAATGCCCCCGTGTGTTCTCCAAGGTCCCCACAGGTCACCTGCAGACCTCAGAACATGTGGCCACACTGGTGTCTCTGAGGTTGGCCTCTCTGCCTCCACTTGGTGCTGGGTCACTGAGAGCAAGAACCTGAGCATGGGCTGTAGCTGTGCTGGACGTGCACAAGTCCATCTGCCAGGGATCGAGCTGGACATCAGGTGCCTTCACAGCACTGGGCGCCCAGCGCCTTTACTTCCCAAACAGCCCATTTACCCCTGAAAGGCACCTGCACTCCAGCAGTGACCCAGTCCCCTGCCCAGCCCCGTCACCTGCCCACTCCAAGGTCCCCCACAAGTCACCTGCACTCCCCAGAACATGTGGCTGACACTGGTGTCTCTGAGGTTGGCCTCTCTGCCTCCACTCTCTGGATGGCCTGCTGTGGATAGGTCCTGCCCACGGAGTCCACACTATGTGACCCTCTGTGTCGGCTTCTCTCACAGAGCCCCAGGTCTCAAAGTCCGTCCCACTTGCAGAGCTGCAGTCCTTTTTAAGGCTGAGTAGTATTCCATCATATGGATGGACTCGTCCTGTTCCCCATTTTTCCTCAGTGGACAACTGGGTCACTTCTCCCTTCTGACCCTTGTGCATGGTGCTGCTCTGAATGTTCACACACAAGTTTTCATTCCAGCATTTGTTTCTGGGTCTTCAGGGACTAGGCTGGAGGTGCTGGTGGAGTGGGAACTCCCTGTGCAACCCCGAGAGGCCCCTGGGCACTGTCCCTGCACAGGGGCTCCACGCTGCCCTCCCACATGCACATGCTAAGAGTGACTTAGAACGTTGAGTCCCCGACTCCAGAGGGCTCAGCACAGAGCTCCTGGCGGTCCCCACACAGGTGGCCTGCAGGTGCACACGGCTCTGCTTGCCAGCTGCCGGGAGTCTCTGTCCTGGGGTCCCGTGGTCATGGTGGCAGAGTGCAGCTTGTGCTGTGGGCAGGGGCGGGCAGTGCTGTGACCAGGAAGGGCCATCCTGGGGCTGGAGCTCCATCCTGGAGTGAGGCCTGTGTTTCTCTACCCGGCGAAGTGAGGACGTTAGAACAGCCCTGTGGGCTGTAGTTCTCACGCCCACGATGCGTGCTCACAGGTCAGCCTGTCCCCAGAGCTGTCCATCATGGCCAGCACGGTCAGCTGTAGGGCATTTCTTCCTCTGCGCACCCTCAGCGGTCAGTCCCCAGCGCCGGCAGCCAGAAGTCCACTTACCTGTCCGTGCCTCTGCCTGTTGGGGACCTCTCACGTGCCTGGAGCCACAGCTGTGGCCGGTGCGAGCGCTGCTCTGCTGGACAGTGCTCCGGGTCCCCAGCACTGAGGTGTATCTGAGCTCGGTTCCGCACGTGGTTGGACGTCCTTGGGGACGGCCGCACGTGCGCAGGCGCCGGAGGCCCCCGTCCGCGACCTATTTCAACACCCGCTTGCGATTCCCTCAGGTGGGACGTGACTTCGACCAACAGGCCGGCCCTCTCCAAAGGGGCCGCGCCTTTTGCCTTCCCACCAGCACACGAGGGCTCCCATTTCTCCCTGGTCGCCTTTGATTACAGCCACCTCCGTGGGCGACAAGTGGCCTTTCACGCACCCCACCTGTCTATCACGTGTCTTGGGGACACTCTCTGCACTTTCTAAAATGAGAGGCAGAGATAAGCTTAGTGCACTGGGCCTGCAATTTAGATCCCATGAAATCCATGCCTCTGCGCCGTCCTAATTACAATATAAAGGAGAAATAAAAGCAGATCAGGTGGTGACACTGCGCCGTGTGGCTCAACCTGTCCACACTCGACCTGGAGAGTGCAAGGCGAGATTAAGTAATCAGACGTTTCCTAACCAACTCTTCACCTCAGATCTAAGACGAGATGGCAGGCAGCGTTCAGCCCAACTCAGCCTTTATGGGTTCCAAACGGGGCAGGTCATGAGAATCACCTGGGGACAGCAGCGTGGCGCGTAACTGCGGGTCAAAACTCTCAGCCACTTTCCAAAATGGTTAAAAAATCAAAAAACCCCGGGGAAGGTGCCAAGGGAAGTGCGGACGACCCAGCAGGGGTCTCCGAGGGGCGGGTCCTTTCTGCGCGGGGACAGAGGGCAGCCCGCGGGCAGGGTCCTGCACCAGGTGAGCAGCGGCCGCGCCCAGGCCCAGGAGGCGCCCGGATGGCGATGGCGCAGACCGCAGGCGCGGGGCCAGCAGAGCCCGGGTATCTCCCGGCCCCGCCTGGGATCCCTGGGCCCGGCGTCAGTTAGGCTCCGCGGCCCGCGAGGGGTCCCCGAGGGTACGAGAGGGGCAGGTGGGTGCGAGGAAGCCTCTGGGCGGGGGCCACAGCTCTCCTGGCTGCGCCCTCTGCCCTCCAAGGACGCTGCGTCGCGGAGGCCCACAGCAGGGGCGGTCAGAGAGAACGCAGAGGCCCTTTCCTTCAAGACGGGCTCCGAAGGCCTCAGCTGTGGTCATCCACCCGGGGGACAGGAGCCGGGGAAGGCAGGAGGGCCAGCGGTCCCCAGGACTATGCAGCAGGACTGTGCAGGCCTCCGCGACCCGCCTGCGGCCTGTGCTGCGTCTGACGTCAGCGCGTAAGCGCGCAGACTTGACGCTCCGGGGACACCCAAGGTCACCAGGCGGCCCCAGCCCTGCGCTTCTGTCCCTCTCCCCCGCAGCAGGATCCGCGGCTTTCCTCGACAGAGCGGGTGTCTGCGAGGGTTTCCGCGGAATGTATGTCTGTCCGCGGCTCCTGCGCGCGCGCACGTGTGTGTGTGTGTGTGTGTGTGTGTGGAGAATGAATTCCTGTTTTATCGCACAGGTGCCCAGTTTTCACGGGCCAAGTGCGCACCTGTCCTTCATCTTCACGGAGCCCCTGTCTGCATTCTTACTGACTCTGTTTGCCACGAGCCAGACCCTTTCAATCAGCTGTTTTGCTGCTTTAACGAAAAGGACCCGAGCAGAGCAACTGGAGGGGAGGAGGAAATGTTTATTTGGAGGCTCAGGGTTTCAGAGGTGGGTCTCCAGAAGGCCGGCTCCGACCTCGGGGCTGGAGTGACCCTGAACACGGTGGCACAAGGGTGTGGCACGGGGAAGCAGCTCACAGGATGATCAGGAAGCAGAGGCTCCGCTTCCCAGATATAAAGAAGACACCCCCAGCCACCCCCAGGGAACCCCGTCCTCCTGCCACCCCCTGCCTCCACTTACCCCCCCATCCCCCAGGGGTCCACACACTGATGAGGTAAGGGCTGTGGCCCAGTCACTTATCCTGCAGACCGTGATAGCCAGGGTGTCACCCACCGATGCCTTCTCTCTCACCACCCCCCAAACTAAAACCAGGCTCCACAGGAAGGTGTCCCCCCCACTCCCTGCCTCCCAGAAGGGCAGCCTGGGGCCTGCGGTGGGGAGGGAGGTGCTGACCCGGGGCAGTGGGGACATGCTGGGGACCAGGGGACACTCGCTGTCCTGAGGGAGGTGACGACGTCGCAGCTGGCACACATGTCCAGCCCAGCACGTGAGCACTGCAGGTGTGTGCCTGTGGACTGCACCTGCGGAAGCTGCTGGAAACCCCTGGGGTGCAGCTGAGAGTGCAGCGTGGGGGAGATGCTGTGACCGGGTCTTGCTGCAGGTTGACGGCACCTGCCCTTGCAGGCCTCTTTCACCTCTGGCACCACAGTCCCCCCTAGGTCAACAGGAGCCTCCCGGGCCAGGGTCAGCCTGCCCTGGGCCTTGCAGGGAGCACTGGGCGCCAACAAGCAGTGGCCAAGTATGAGAGTCGAGGTGGGCAGTGCTGAACTGGAGCGCGGCCACCAACCTGCCTGCCTGCCTCGGCAGGGGAGGGACGGGCGGGGCCCAGGCCCTGGCCGGGAGCACATCAGGTTAGACGGGAAAGTCCAAGCACAGCATCGAGGGAACGGGGGCAAATGGGTGGCTGAGGGCCACCGAGCAGGCACAGCCCTTGGCCCCCTTCCCAGAGCCCAGGAAAGGACCAATTATCCTAAGTGGGCAGTAAATCCTGGGGAGAGCACCATTGTTTGCTGTCCACAGACTGAAAGAGGAGCTCGTCACCTGTCACAGGAGCGATGACAGACGTCCGTGTGGCACGGGGCCTGGGGCTGAGAGGTGCTGAGAGACAAGGGACGTTCACAGCAAGACTCTCCTCCCGCCGGCTCACGCACACGGGCACCCTGTCTAGAAGCAGGACCCGCCATCTGCTCCAGAGTCTGCTCTCCCTCCCAGCAAGGTCAGGGTCCTTCCTGGATTCAAGATGGATGGAGG